TCTCTTGAACTTTTTTGCTTCTGTTCTGCAGATGGTGCTTTTCTCTGTAGTTATGTATTATCTATAATGTTAGCCATGACATCTTTCTAAAACACATAAATAATTTACCTCTAGTGTTAGCTGATGTTGAACTGCATAGATCTCAAACCTGATGACCTTGTTACGCATATGCTAAATGTGACCCTGGAGCACAAAACCAGTCATAAGGGTCAATGTTTTTGATCGAACAGAATGATCTTTCCATTGATGTATGGTTTGTTAGGACAGGACAATATTTGGCCGAGATACAACTATTTGAAAATCTGGAATCTGAGGGTGCAAAAAAATCTAAATATTGAGAAAATCATCTTTAAAGTTGTTCAAATGAAGTTCTTAGCAATGCATATTACTAATCAAACATTAAGTTTTGATACCGTATTGTCCCGAATATAAGACAATGTTTTTTTTCTTGGAAATACATCTGAAAAAACGCGGTCGTCTTATATTCAGGGTCTAGACTTTGACATGTCAATAATACACCAGCAACAATAGGTGGCGCCAGAATATAGTCACTACACTGACACCATGCACTCATTAGCATTCATTTACAATAAACATAAATTGGAAGTAAATAGATTTGTGACTTTGTGAAGAAAATTCAGAAAGATGTTGGTCTATTCTTGTTGTTGTTGTGTTGTTGTATAGCCCAACCATTATTGTTTGAGCCTCTATAAATATTTCTCTCTGGTGTCTGTAGTATTCCTGTATTAAAGCAATGTGAGACGGTGGTATATGTGAAGCTTATAGTAAATGCAGGGGACTTGTATTGTGGGCTCATTAGAGTTGTGGCAGCCATAAGTGACTTTCTCTTTATTCCTCCGAGGGCATGTGTGGAGATACTGTATCTGTCACGCTCTGCTGCTCTAATTAGTCAAGACCAACTTAAAGAATCTCTGCTCGAAGAAACCTCAAAGGTCCAGAACCAGCTGGAGTGTGTTCAGTGTGATGTGTTTCTTCTTAATTTGGCCAAATGTTTGTGTGCAGCTTTATACACCCTGTAAAAGAGGAAGATGTGGGTGGCTGTAGAACAGGATTGGTTTGTTAAAGCAGGTATGAGTGCGGATCAAGCATGAGAGAGCAGGACTGCTGGCCTCAGCAGAGGGACTCTTAGGATGAAGTGCCACGCTGTCCACACGAGCGCAGTAATTGGTCCCACAGAAATAAGGTTTGATTCTGGGCATTAGCGAATCTCACCCTGCGGATGCTGTGCCTTAGACTGTCTAGTAAATGTGACACAATTTACACAGTCATTGTCATCAGAGGAGAAAGACTGGAATAATAAAAGAACTGACCTGTTTTCCATAAGCCAGTGCAATGGTAGAAGTTCCCTAACCTAAGCTTAGCCAAGATGTCTCTCAATTAAAAGTAATGTATCACTGTTAAACTGGACAGTGACCAAATTTTAGATCATGACCGAAGGTCTGTGAGTAAGAGATAACAGACCATAGATGGGTCAAGAAAATAATTATTTACAAAATATAAAATACAAGCTCTGGGTCACAGATACCTTCTTTTGTGCTCCACAGAAGAAAGAAAGAAAGAAATTCATGTAGATTTAAAATAGCTTGAGTGGATGAGGACAAAATTATCACATGTATTAAGATGAACGCATTTTAGCAGACACTTAGAATGTAAATGCATCAGAACTTTTAGTCCGAACATGTGCACATTTAGAGAATGCTGATATATAAAAAATAAACAAGAATAAATCTTAAGACAGTACGTTTTGCATTGAAAGCTCCAAATAAGATAGTTTCATTTCATGATCAATATTCACATAAGATCAGAAAAGTTGCTTTATTCACTTGCTCCTTTAAAGTATCATTTACACAAAACAGTAGAAATGCTGCAGTAAGGCTTTAATATTCTGTGCTTTCCTCAAATTTAAATGCCATGCATGTTGTCAGATGCAGTTGTCAAGATACAATTGTCTGCACTTTCTGAAATTCTGTAAGCATTCCATTTTATTTCCGTGTCACCTCTGTGTTTGGCATTAAGTCACTTACTCAGAGAGTAATATTGTGTAATGTACCCATGTCTTTGGGTGTCAGTATGGAAGGCATGTGGTCAATTCATTTCTGCAGTACTGTGTGGACTATGAGACTCGGGAGCTGCTTAAAAAGTTTGATGATAGACAAAAAAAAGCAATCTACAGAGCTTTGAAAAGCTCAGCCGCTCGACTCTAAACCCCACAGAACAGCAGAACTTCCCGTTCCTTCACACAAAGACAAATGAGCCGCTGTCTCTGTGCTCCTCTCCCTTTCCACTCATGTGCTCAGAGCTATATATCATGCTTGCTGTAAAAGGCCTCATAATGCCACAACCAAATATGGTATTAAAGAAAGACATTTTATTTTCAATGATGGGTATGAGCATAATCTAAAAATATGTTTAGTATGGTTTATGTCGATTTTCTACCACTAATTCACTGGAAATGATCTCATACTAAAGCAGGGTCATTCTGAAACTTTTCCCCCTTTAATTAAACGTCTGTTAGAAATGCAGTCCTCGTTTGTTTGCCTTGTAATGATGATCTTAATGAAGAAGATTCAAATCAATGCTCTTCTCGTCTCTTTACATCAACAGTCATATTGTCATTTTGACATTTTTAAGTAAAGTTTATTTGGAAGGATCTGCACTATACATACAAATTGATGTGAATTCGCATTCAGACCCGAAAAGTTTAGTGTCTCTGATTCAGGAAACTCACACAGACATGGAGAGAACATGCAAACTCCACACGGAAAGACAATGAACTGGCCTTGAAGGCCTTTTGAGATTTGCTGTGTACAGTACGCATTGTACAAAAGCACAGATCTGTAATAATTAATTATTTGACTTTAGAGAAAAATATGTAGCTATAGGTACATTAGTTACACACAAAAAATTAACCCTATAGTGAGATTTTAAGAGAGAAAGTCTGAAATTGTCAAGGTCATATTTATCAAGAAAACAATCACAATGGCACAATAATTGCTTTCTCAGTTGGAGTCAAAAAACACAGTGTCCAAAACAGCCGCTCTCTGCAGAAAATCACTGGACTTTCTCTCTCTCGCTAATGACCCGGTTTCAGTATCAGGGCAAGAGAAAGAGAGAGATGGAAAGAGCGGTGTGATTGATATGGAGCGAGCGCACTCAGGATGCTTCATGCTGTGAGAACTCTTTATAAGGCAGAATAAAGAAAAGTCTTCCTCCCACTGCTTTCTCAGACAAACAAACACTGTAAATATTTGTAAGTCTACATAGAATGTGTTTGTCCTTGAAGCCATTCTTTGAGTCTTGAATTATTTACAGGGCGTCATTTCAGTTTTTAAAGATCTCTGAGAAGCTCATGCACAGCCTTGAGGGATGAGCGCTGTTCACAAAGAGCAAACGCTTTCTCCAGCAACAAATATTCTCCTGCTGTCATAAATATCATTCAGCACCTGCATAACATCACAGGAAATGCCACAACAAGGGCCGATTTGTGCAGTTCTGTCACAGTTATGCCCAACCGTTCATGCCTTAGTGTTTGTAATACTACACAATGACTCAAACTGCTAAAGAGTCAAACATGTGGAATCTCCAATGGCCTCTAATTTACCCCCCCCCCCTCAAACGCTGAAGATCCAGACTCTTCATCAGCATTGGTGTTACAGTCAGTCGTGACCATCCAGAGAAGTGTATATCCATGCAAGAGAGAGAATCAAAGATTTTGATGCAATAGCTGATGAAGAAAGTCATGATACAGAAAGACTGGTGTTTACAGCTCAAAATATTGGCTGACGTTTTTCACTTTTCAGTGTATTTCCTCTCATGAACAAAAATATCTCAATCCAATGTGGACATAATTTCCTTTTTCTTAATACAAGTTCATATATTTGCATTTTACTTCAGTATATTGTCATGGTGTAATGCAGGTTTTCATTTGATTTTTTTTTTTTATCTATGTTGCTGAATACAACAAAGTTTTTTAAAGTGCTGCTAATGATTTGTTTTATTTTCATTGAATGTACTGTAAATCAGCTGAGGAAGTTCAACCTGCCACAGGAGCTGCTGAAAAATATGTTCTCTTTAATTTATATGCATACATATGCCTTATTTTTCAATTAAAAACCACGATTGTCCCGTATTTTCCTTTTGTGAAGTTGGGAACCCTAATAGAAGGTTAACCATGTTTTTTATTTATTTATTTATTTTTTAGTTAAACCATGATTAATCTTCGTAAGGGTGATTAAAAATATGGACCCCGCTTTATTGGTATTTCTACAGGTTTATCCTGATCTTCTTACAAGCACTGTATTAATCAGCACAAAAACCTACCGAATAAACAGTCATTCTTGCATGTAAAATTGTAACGTCTGTTTATCTGAGGAACATTAACTTCATCTGCGACAAGGTGCGCGAGGCCGATCGGTTAAAGCCGATGGACGCAGAACCGAATCTGAAGCTCCGGACAGAAACGCGTAGGCCACGGGAGCTGAGAATCGGCTGATAGTGAGACGCAGAAGCATAATTTCTCCATCAGCACGGATAAAACAACAATTAACAATTAAAATTTCTGGATGACGTAGTGTCTCAGTTTAGTGTTACTCTTTACAAGAAATGATTTAAACCAATCGCGGTCTACCTGTGACTGCATTTTCATTCAAGTTCACTTTTTCATGTCATTGCCTTGACAAACTCATCACGGAGTTTTAGATTTAGCAATGCCATTAAAAACATCGCTCCATCCTTGTGATTTTGGATAACGACCAGGATTTGTTAGTTATTAATGTTGAAGTCATTTCGTGCCTTTCCGAATAAGGTATTGATAGACTGCGACTCTTTTAGATAAAATCAGCCTCAGGAATACTCTTCTAGCCTTAAGAATGCAGTTTCCCTTAAATGTTTTATCCGCGATGCGCTCGTGAGAACGAGAGAGGACAGCAGACCTGTACGTGTCTTTCATCATTAATGAGCTTCATTCGTGTTTTCGTTAGATGGCAGCAAAGCAGCAGAGAAACATCAGCAGCTCTGCAGCATCCGCATCCGAACACAAGCGCGAGCTGCTGCTGTCATTACCGAGCCGAGCCGAGCCAGAACACACACATATACACACACACACTCACGCGCGGGGCGGCCAGAGCTGCATTCATCGGAACCAGACGACATGAGCTGCTTTTGGATACACTCGATCCTCATCCCGGGATTCTTCGTACTCTTCGGATTTGAAGGTAAGAATCTGATGGTCTTTATTTCTGCATGCGCTCGTGAGGCGTGTGTTCACGGCGGTGTAACCAGAGGACGTGCCACAGATAACTTCAGTCCGCCTCACTGTGATGTTTCAGAGCAGATCGCTCTCGATTTCTGAATACTGATCGCCTGATGTTCAGATCACATTTCCCCGAACGCGTCTTAGATTATTGGGTTTGTTTCTACTTTCCTCCGTCTCCGGATTGCCCGCCGTGCTGGAGTTTGTTCAGTGAGTGGGATTCAGACGCGAATTAGCTGATTATTTCGTGCATTGATCTGAAACAGCGCATCTAGTGTCGTGATGATGATGATGATGATGATGATGAGCGAACGGGATTTTCTCTGATTGTTGTCGGAGGCCAGTGCTTCACAGACTGATGCAGAGCTACACCTGCATGTGTCCTTGCAGGACCTTTGACCTCCAGTACACTGAAGCTTTCAAACAGGTCCTGCTGTCAGTATGTGGTTCAGAGCAGCTTTCATTGGCTCAGCTGGAGGAGTGATGTTGAGATGGTGTCTGCACACAAGGAAAAGGTGTAGTTTGTAGCTTATGTGTATTATGGAGCCAGAGCAATAACGTCTTTCCATCTAATGTTATTGATGAGGCTGCTTATGTCCATTAGTGCTATTGATTTGCTCTCAGGATAAAGAGGGCGCTCATTAGGATGCACAGTAACTCTGGAACCCACAGACACTCAATTATCTCTCATTTAAATCACAGCAAGGCTTTACAATGCCATTACGAGAGTGTTTTTTTTCTTCCATGAAGTTACCATTACGGACATGAACACAAGCGGTAAAAGCAGCTGAAGCTAACAATGTTTCTTTGATTATGAAGAATGAAGTGATCACTAGTCAGATGGTGTTGTATGACGTGTGTAGAATGGTGCATGTCCCGATTCTCACATTCTGCTCCTGCGTCCGCTCCTGTTGTTGTCTGATAGTATTACGATAGTATCCATGCGATTGCATGTTGATGTAACGAAGGTGCTGGCCTTGTATGCTTCTCAATTTATGAGCTAACTGTTGTGAAATGGGAAGAGTGACAAATTAAACCAACGCTTTTGCTGTCTCTACCTGTGTGTGTTGGATGAGCTGCCAATAGGGGTCTCTGTTGCATCAGGTCAATATGGGGCTTCATCAGAAGTCATTCACTCATTATTTACGCAGACTGTAGGCTTCTCCAGGAGATGATCCTTTAGCAGCCACAGGAAAGTACATGTGTTCATGAGTTATGTGGAAGAATATTCTTGCCACTTAGGTATGTGATCTCATTGTGATGCATGATAGAAAATCATGCACAGGTTCTATACCTAAATGTTAAAGGCAGAGTAAGTGATTTCTGGTAGCCAATGTTGATATTTGAAATCACCAAAACAAACACGCCCCTACCCCAAAAGGGTCTTGCCCCTATTTTGATAGCTCCGCCCCACATATACGTACGCAACCCAGGCAACGATTAGTTCTGTGAAACAAAGCAAAACGTCTCGGGTTACTTATGTAACCATGGTTCCCTGAGGGGAACGAGACACTGCGTCCTCTAGGGGTCGCTATGGGGAACGCCTCGTCGTGACCCGTGTCTGAAGCCTACATTGAAAAAACACCAACTTGTTTGGCCCGGCGACAGCCATGACGTCACTACCGTCGCAACTAGTACAAAATAGGCGCCGGTAGCGCACATCATCACTTCTTCGTCTGAAGCTTGTGTCCGCAGCATGGCACAAAAAACTAGAGGACGCAGTGTCTCGTTCCCCTCAGGGAACCATGGTTACATAAGTAACCCGAGACGTTCCCTTTCGTGGAACTTCGAACTGCGTCCTCTAGGGGTCGCTATGGGGAACGGTATACCCACGCCGCCATGCTGAGGGGAGTGCAAGCCAGAACCATGGCGAGCCACTAAGTACCAACTACACCATATCGCTATGGGAGTTGCCCCTGTCCTGGACT